TCGTGGCAGGCGCAGCACTTGGTGAACCTCGAAGTGCAGATTTCGTGATGCTCACTCTCTTACTCTCCCACTTTCACTCACACTCACACTCCCTCACACTCCCACTCTCATTCACACTCGCACTCACTCTCCCACTCTCACTTGCACTGCACTCACACTCACTCACTCTCACTCACAGTCATTCTCATCCACACTCACTCTCACACTCGCACTCACACTCACACGCACACTCACTCACCCACACACTCACTTACTCTCGCACACTCACACTCACTCACTCTCATTCTCACTCTCACTCTTTCACTCTCACTCTCACTCTCACTCTCACGCACACTCACACTCACTCACTCTCCCACTCTCGCTCTCACTCTCCCACACTCACTCACACTCACCCTCACTCTCACTCACACTCCCACTCTCACTCACACTCACACTCCCTCACACTCTCACTCTCAACACTTCCTCTCGCACTCTCTCTCTCTCTCTCCCACTCTCACTCGCACTCACTCTCACTCTCACCCACACTCACTAACACCCACCTTCACTCTCACTCACGCTCACTTACACTCACACTCGCACTCACTCTCACTCTCACCCACAATCATTCTCATTCACACGGGATTTCCTTTCATGCAGTACTCCATAGCCCAAATCCAACGTCGTATATTAAGACTTTGGAGCTGGTTGCATGGATTAGCCTTCTGTTTGGGTATTCGACGTGGCATCATACTTTGCAAGAACCACATTTTGTGGTTGCACATGGTGGCACATAAGCGCGCAGAGTTTAATATTATTACTGTTGTTTTTTAAAGATCACTCTTCCTAATATATTCCACTGTATATGTACTTTTAAAAATATAATTCTGAGTAAAATATTTCTATATGTAGGATGTTCTTTTTGGACCATTATTACTAACATTGTTTTCTATCCGTAAGATGTTTTTTTAAACTGTATATGCACCATGTTGTTTTTTGAACCACTCTTCCTAACATGTTTCTGTATGTGTTACTTTGTATCACTCTTCCTAACATTTTTTTCTAATGTATATATTGTGCGATGTGTTTTTTGTTTGTGATCACTCTTCCTGACCGTTTTTCTATATGTATTGTTTGGATCACACTATATTTTTCGAAAATGCCAAGCCCTGTATTGGATTTGGATATAGTACTTCCAATGGTTGTTTGTCAATTGAATCTACCCAAAACACCACTGCAACAGTTGCGTTTCGGGCAAACTTAACATACTCAACAGCCGAAAATATATTGGTGTTCCGCTTTTTGCTGAGGGATCCTATAACTTTTGTAGCTCTCACAAGGTTATTTTTTTAAAACATTTTCTTGCTTTAAACGATGGTCATCGCAAAACAACATGTTTACCTTAGTTTTGTTCCACTATTGTTATGTTATCTTTATTTTTATCTATGGTCAGCGCAAAACAAAATTTTACCTTAGTTTTGTTCCACTATTGTTATGTTATTTCTACCTTTTTAATCTACGGTCATCGCAAAACAACATGTTTACTTAAAAGTTTGTTCCACTATTGTTATGTTTTTTTGCTTTTTAAAATACAGTATCAGCACTTTTGCCACGTTCTAAGTCCAACTTGTCGAACTTAGCCAAGTGTTCTTTTTTGAACATGTTCTACTTAGTTGCACTTAGCTATGTTGGACTAAGTTCGACCTAAGTACAACATCTTGAACATAGGCCGCTTGGCTAAGTCCAGCTAAGTTCAACACTAAGTTCAACACTAAGTCCGACTAAGTTCGACTTAGTATGTAGGCTATGTTGGTTAGTAAGTGCACTTATAAGCTGGACAACCAGGCTAGCTACTTATAACCCCAACCGCACATCCAAGTGGGTCCTTTTTGTCATTCGAGATGGCGTTCTCAGTTGACGAACCGTCAGCTGATACATGTTCAGCATGTTGTTGGACTGGTCCGATGGTGCGTGCTGCGGTGACAGCCGTCCGTGGCGTGTCCTTTAAACCTATACATCCGCTGTTTGGGCCGGTGTAATTCTGCTTGCTGATAATTTTGAAGCTGAACCTGGACAGAGTTTTTAAGGGACTACTATTTTAGAAGGTGTCATTTTGGGACACCACCTTAAATTCTAGGGAATTTGTTTCATGAACGCATCATTTTCTACCCCAAGACACTCCGTTGCCTCGGCTGTCGCAGGAGTGGCCAGAGCGGACCTCAGCAGGGTTCTGGTGGCTTCAGGGCCGTGCTTGGAGATATTCCAGTGTGTGGGTGAAGCCAGGTGCCACAGACAAGGCCAGGTACAACATGGTGCAACTAAATCATGAAAACATGTCATTCCAAGTCGTTCAACCATTTGATTTGCCTTCGGTGAAGACATGTAAAAGCAGTTGCTCTTCCAGCTTGGGGGTGGAACTACTGGAAAGGTGTCATGAGTCTTTGCAAAGCGGCAACCTGGCAATAGTTCACCAGAGCATTTTCTGAAGTGAACCCCGACACCAACCTACCTGGGGTCTTCATGACCAGTCCGCGCTTCGCCGAGTTGGATGACCCATTTGAGCCACCGGCGTACGAGCACGCGGGGGGCAGGCGACGTGCGGGCAGGTGAAAAACGAGTGATATAGTACTATATACTTTTTTGTGTAAACAGATTGCTCATATATTACATATATACAAATATACCCGAAGCCTAGAACCATCTAGAACCTAGAGCCCATGTGGCCTTCAAGATGCAGCTGTGTGAGCCTAAGAACTCACAAGTTTCATTCGGCCGGCAGGGATGCAACAAAAACATATTTTTAGTGTAGGGGTTAGTATGGTATGGGTTAGTCCGGATTCCGTACGGGTTACATTAGGAGGGGCCGATCGAAAATACGGGTTCCGTATGCGTTAGTACGGGTTAAGTACCGGCTCCGTATGTAAATTTGTCTTATGTTTTCGGTCAAGTCACCCTCCAAATGCCCCCAAAGATCTTCAAAGTGAAAGAATCGTAAGAATGGTCGACATTTGGTGGCTTGTGGATTTTAAGATCCCACGACACACACCTGAAAGCAAGGCCCGGAGACAGGTGTTTGTTTGTGGTGGCCTGGGGCTGTTCTTCAGTAGTTTTACCAAAAGACGACGTTTTTCGAGAAAAGACGATGTGTTGATTTTGTTGAAAATCAAGGTGACTACGAGTGGCTAAGATCATGCCCTTTTCTTGCGTCAGGGAAGAAAACGTTGGAACTTCACGGACAACGAGCGCTGAGTGGGTCGATATGGTTGGTGCACCAAAACCGCATCTATAGGCGGCATCGCGTAAGTTCTTGCGAGGAACCGACAGAAACCACTTTCTGCGCGCTCCGCGCCGAGCATCGTATCGTGGAGGGCCCCTGCACGTACAAGAGAACATGGAGGTTGTGGCTAGCAGATGTCGCGCGCTTGAAAAAGCCAGTGGAATTTGTGAAGCGCTGGGGTGCCATTGGATGGTCGCGTGTTAGACTCCCCTAGAAAATGTCCAAGAAGACGTTGCTCTTTCCGCCTGCAGAAACACATGACCAGGAACCAGGAACAAAAAGGAGATGGGAGGCACAGGAGGCCTTTGCCCCATAGGAAACACGTGCTTCATGAAGTCAGTGTTGCAGCGTGTCAGAGAAACGGAAGCCCGAGGAAGAGGTATTTAGCGTGAAAGAAACAAGAACAAATAATGCAAGCGCTAGCCAGAAGGTGTTAGTTTCAATTCATCCTTGTGATGTGCAGTGGGTGTAGGCACCTCCAAGTGAAGACAGTCTCGTGGAGGCATAGCATGAAAGAAACACAAGAGCTAATACAAGCGCTAGCCAGAAGGTGTTAGTTTGTATTCGTCCTTGTGATGTGCAGTGGGTGTAGGCACCTCCAAGTGAAGACAGTCATCGACGTTGGAGGATGCTGAAGCAGCTCGTGGAGTTATGCAACGCAGGATGCTGCAAGCTCCTTCTTTGGTGAGCGTGACGGCTAAAAAGAAGGTTGCAGGGCTAAAAAGAATAAACCATGTGACGGGGTTAAAAAGAATGTTCCAGGGTCGAAAAAGCATGTGCAAGGGCTACAGAGGAATATTGCAGGGCTTTAAGAATATTGTAGGGTTAAAACAAGCATGGTGGAGGGTTAAAAAAGGGTTGGGTTGAAAAAACATGTTTTAGGGTTGAAAAATATGTTGCCCTATGTACAGTATAGTTATGTATATTGTGTGTTGCCTCCATGGTGTAGCAGCCCATGGTATAGACCTAAATTCTCCAAGATCCGCGCCCAAAAGACTCCTGATGTGACAGTAGCTGCCACATGTTGTGATCGGTTAGACCCAAGGACACCCTGCTGCTCCCGATTCGTGGTTGACCCATGGCCCTCTTGGCATCTCTGTGTAGAGACAAAGCAGCCCCCAGCCAGAGATCAAAAGTTATTCTCCTTTAAGGGGCGAGAAAAATAGACAATTTTCCTGGGCGGCCTGGGGCATCTCTGAAGGCCGTTGGAAACTGGCGGATTTCAACCTCGCGACCAGCTTTGAAGCCTGGCAGCCGGTGTTTCTCAGCCCATCCTTTTGGTGAAATGACAGAAATACCAGAAAGCAAGAGCTTCTGTTGGCGACCCGTCGTGGAGGCTCCAAAGCCCAAAGCCGTGGGGCAGAGGGAAGAAACACCATGAAACCCTAAACCCGCAACGGCCCCACGTTAAATGGGTATATAATGGTGGATAAACGGATAGATAGATGGATGGATGGGTGGGTAGGTAGGTAGATAGATAGGACAATTCCTCGAAACGGATGGACATGATACGACGATGTCTTCCCGCAGCGTGTGACTTGGCTTCCCGAATCCGAGGAGCCGAAGCGCTTCATGAGAGATAATGTGGGCACCCTGCCTTTCCAGGCGCCTGAGGTGCCACAAAGGAAATACACGGAGAAGTGCGACATCCACAGCACCCCGGTCGAATCTGGTGGTTTTGTTTCTTGGCCTCCAGACGTGTGTGTGTGTGTGTCCAGCCCTGTCTCAAAGGGTTACTCCACTTACCTGTCACTCCAATTTCAAGCAGGGGGGCAAGGCCTCCAGCGATGAACCTTGTCCAACGAAGCTAAGTCGCTGGAGGGGAAGCGAATGGAGACGTCCATTCGTGTACCTGCAACCGAAACTTTTGACCACGCTGTCCAATTTGATCGGTTTGATTCATGGTCCTTCATGCTACCTACCCCTCAAACCATTTTCTCTCCGCCACTTTCAGCAGCCGCGCGGTTTTTACAGCTTGTCACTGCAGTTGTGCGCAAAACATTTGTTGAAACACCTTCAACTCTTTGGACCTTTCACCGTGCCGTTCCCTCACCATTTTTCCTGGAAATTGAGTTAACTGAAAACCAATGTCGAAGTGTGAGCCGCTCAGCCGTCCGACATGGGTGCTGGGTGTGATCCTCCGCAAGGAGGCGCCGTTTGCATGCCGGAAATCGTGTTACTGAATCATCGTTCCTTCTTTGACTTTTCCTCACCGCTCCTTCTCCACCCTGAATTCACTGCACTTTGAGCCGCCGGGCTAATACGACGGAATATCACAGACTGCAACTACCAGATTGTTTTTTGATACTTATCATGACATGTTCTTCATGGCAGATTTCATGCATGTTGCCGAATTCGGTATGCAGCTGATCTTGGAATTTCAAGGAGAGCTGATACGCCTTTATGTCCAAAAGGGGCATGACCCTGCAGCCTGCAGACGGTTTTTGAAAAAAGTCCATCCACCACGCTTCACTTGCGCCGATAGCGGCGTTTTGTGTGTGTCCAGCCCTGTCTCAAAGGGTTACTCCACTTACCTGTCACTCCAATTTCAAGCAGGGGGGGCAAGGCCTCCAGCGATGAACCTTGTCCAACGAAGCTAAGTCGCTGGAGGGGAAGCGAATGGAGACGTCCATTCGTGTACCTGCAACCGAAACTTTTGACCACGCTGTCCAATTTGATCGGTTTGATTCATGGTCCTTCATGCTACCTACCCCTCAAACCATTTTCTCTCCGCCACTTTCAGCAGCCGCGCGGTTTTTACAGCTTGTCACTGCAGTTGTGCGCAAACCATTTGTTGAAACACCTTCAACTCTTTGGACCTTTCACCGTGCCGTTCCCTCACCATTTTTCCCGGAAATTGAGTTAACTGAAAACCAATGTCGAAGTGTGTGGTAAGTGCCGTGAAGGCAATGAAGGAAAACATTTCTTCCCTTTGTTTCGGGCCTTGAAACGTCCCAATTTCAGATGTTTGTGCACCCCTTGGCCGCTGGGATCTACGTCCAGAAAAGCAGATCCAGCCGAGTGGGGGAACATGACACCGGTGGGAGACGAATTTTCGATTTCACGGGGTCTTGTTTACCGTTGCGCACAAGTGAGTGGGAGAGTACGCCCTGGAAGATTAACATGGAACCTGAAAACTACGGAAGCTAGTCTTCCCAAGGTCCTTGTTCAGGTTCCATGTGAACCTTCCCGGGTGTAATGTATACTGTATGTCTTTTAATGGATTATAAATATACTGCAGAATTTCACCCAACTAAGTCTAAGTAAGAAGTCAGGGTCCTTTCCACGAGTCGGCCGAGAATTGGGACCATTTCGCCCATCGCGTCGCCACCGTGTGCGGGACAGCGATTGGGGGTGATCAGGGGTCTCTGCTTTGTGCACTCCTGGAACTTGCAAATCTAAAGAACTAGAGGCCAGAGGCTAGAGCTACACTGTAAAAGTTTGTAAAAATTATGTGGTATGGATTGATGCTGGGATAGGGATCAACAACTGTCAATATATTGAATTGATATGTATCTATATATATATATTTATCGTGCTCATCCGAAACGGATCCCCCACAAGCAATTGGCAGCCAGAAAGCAACATCAGGTGACGGGGTAGGCCCACAGACACCAGCCTTTTAGCTTACAACATCCGCAATAACCTTCATACGACTTTTGTGAGAAGGTTCCAGCTCTGCTGTATTTTTCCTTTTCACCGGGCCAAAACCATGTTCAAACACGATGCCACCTGCATTAGCATTAGAACTTATATAAGAGCGTTAACAGGTGGTTTCAGTACACCAGCACCAGGAAACACCAATTGTTCAGAGCGTAGCAGGTATAGTTCTACATGGATGTGTATTAGAATAGGGAGACCCCCGAAAGAATCCCTCAACAGAAAGAAACCTTGGAATCTGACATGGCCCAGGCATGGGAGTTCTCTTCATCAACTTGGTGACGGGAAAGCATTACTGGCGACCCGAGCATACCCAGAATCAGGAGGATATCGAAGCGGGGAAAGAGCTGATGAGTGAAAAGACCTGGAAGGGGAACAAGCTTCTTAGGCTGATGATTATTTGATATTGTTTGCATGTTTTTCTCGTGCTTTTTGGTAGCAAACGCGGTAGATCCCTGTCAGCTGCCCCTGATTCAGAGTCACCACTGACAGAGTTCGTTATTGAAATGAGTCAGATGAGTCAGGAGTTTCTCAAGAAGGGACTCCCCACCAAGGAGGGACTCGTTTCCACGAGGACCGTCGACGCATGTGTTTTGTTGTTTTTCCTTTTTTCCGCATGGCGTGTAAGTCCGCGTCGACGCACCGGCGCGGAAGAGACGGTGAGACGAGGGGCTGTTGGTTGGGCTCATGTGGGTGAAAGGGGGGCTCTTCCTGTGAAGATGAACTTGGTTCTTGTTGAGCCTTCCAGGCTGCAGGACAGAAAAAAGGCTTTCAGAGCCGGGTGAATTGGCCAAGGCTCGGAACTGATGCTCTGGATTTTGCGAAGCAAATGGTTGCTCCGGAGAATGAACGCTACAGTGCAGAAGAAGCCTTGGGCAATCCGTGGCTCGTGAAGCAAAACGCAGCCATGCATGGCTGCTGCGCTATCAGCTAGGCGGCGCTTGGCATGCAGGAGCGGCGTGCATGCCGCAATTTTTCCTCAAAATGCCCAGAAACTCTCCGGCCATGTCGTCGGCAGATCCCCGCAGCCCGTCGTTCGGTGCATATCTAACAGGGTGAGGATTCCCGTAGCTTTCGGCACCGTCCCAGAAGGCTTGCCTCGGCGCCTCCGCATGGCGGACCGTCCCGGAGGGCGTCGACCGTTCTTGTGACATGGATAGGACCAGCGATGACCGGATGAAGATCCATGGAATACGGAGCCCCGGGACGGAGAGAATTCTTTCTTGCTATTGTATTTTTTCAAAGGACCATCTGTCCAGCTGCGTTGCTGGTCAGAGGTTGAAGTTCCACGATGCTTGGCGCAGTGAGACACTGAGCACGTAGTTCTTCCGGAGCTAGGCTCGGCCCTTTTTTCCCTGGCGTCTCTTTTGGAGCTGTGTCGAGGCGTATGCCTGGCGCCCATGACTCTCCCCAAGTCCATTTCGAGGTGAAGAACCCCTTTCTTGAAGGTTCAAAGTGGCGTTTGCTTTCTCTCCCTCTGCCTTACGTGCACCTAGCTCCTAGAACCTGAGAGGTATTCCAGGTCCGCTCTTTCTGGATTCAGGATGGACGTATTCCGAAGGAGTTCCAAAGGGTGTTGGCTCGATTCCAAAGGGTTTGGCAACACATTGGGTCAGGGAAATGTCACTTTAGGAGCTCCATGTACAAACACCTTGAGAGGGAGAAAAGCGGATCACCCATCAACCAAGCGACCATCCTACTAGGCAGCTCTTCATGGGATGCCCCCTGGAAGGCCTAAATCGTTTTCTTGTTTTCTTCTTTGCACTTGATACGGGCTGCGATCCAGCTCAGGGACTCCAAGGGTCGTGAAGCAGCAGAGGGCCTTCGGGTCAGACAAAATCACCACGGTTGTAGCTCAGGGCCTGGCACATCCTGGCACGTCGTGTTGACGGTTGATGGTTCAAAAGGATGAACATCTACCTCGATACTTCTACATCTCCATGTGCAGTTTTCTACATAAAGCAGCAGTCCATGTGTTTATAATTGTTGAAATATATATATATATATTGTTTTTTAGTTATATTGTTGATGTTGTTCATTGATGGGCTCTGAGGGCCAGCTTTGTGGATTACAGTTCTGCGCATGGTACCGCCACTGCCGGCCAGGGGCGCTTTTGTATTTTTTTCTTCAGCCAATCCAATGGACCTGGCTCGAAATCAGCCTGATGAGCACTCATTTTTTTTGTGCCTGGAATGGTAAAAAAGGATCAAGACGGTGCTCGTGCTTGTTCGTGTTTTGTGGCGCGTCGGACCTTTTCGGTTTGGGCCCTGGTGGTCGAAACCGGTCCTGGTGCCGATCCAAATGGGACCGACAGGGCTTCTCCAAGCAGGGAACGTTGGGTACCCCCTTTTCCAACTACCGTGTTTGTTGGAGAGGGGTTTCTTTTGTAAGGCTCCTTTGATGTTGGAGACTGGCTTCCCACAAGTCCCCGAAAAGATCACAGGAACATACTGGCACATGTGACATACCGTATGACATACCACCCAGATCATCCCAGATCCACCCAGCACCTTCTGGAATAATGGGGGGGGTCTTCAATGGAATGCCCTACGCTACGTACCTTGGATCTCCACTACGTACGCCCTGGAGAACCGGTCCGAGAACGCTTTCGTTGTGGGCCATGTGAGCCAAAGCTCCAAGGACACCTTGTGACGTTCGTAGCGTTCGTGGCGTTCTTGTTCCGTTCGTAGTAAGGCCAGGGTCGCCCCGGGCATCGTAGCGATGCCCTTGTGACGTTCGCAGCGTTCTTGTGCTCCATTGAAGTTTCGATGATTATTTTTTGAAACATGTTGAAGCGACGTTGGAGCGACAGAGAGAGGTGTAGTGTAGTGTAGATGCTTGAAGATATTTTTCAGGTTATTGGCAGCTTCAACTTTCCCACTGTCTGTCAGGATTCTTGATACATTGTGCACGTTTTCATGGGATGTTTGTTGGTTTCCCCCAGGTAAGATCAACAATGACAAAATGGGTGGTTGGGACATCTCGGCAGGACCAAAAAGGCCCTTTCCCAGGCCACTTGTGTGCAATCCCAAGTCAGATGCGAAGCCAGCACAACCCTTCGTCGCTACCATGGGCTGGGTCGGCCGATGACACAGCACCTGGAAAAGATCTCAAATATGATCCAACAGCCGGACCTTGAAAGGAGTGCATAGGGTATTCCATTGGAGGCCCCGAAAGGAAGGTACTGCTAGACTCCTAGATCTTTCATGACTTTTCCCATCTTGCCTTGCAACTCCCGACAATGAGGTTGGACCCTCATGCTGCGTCGTTTCCACTAGGGAGATCCCAAGCAGTGGGTTTTGGTCTATTTTCCTTCTTCCTTGAGGTCTTTGGGAGGCCACCCTATTCACAACCCTTCTCACATTCCCACTCTCCACATGCTGAGTGTTTGTCAGTCAATGTGAGGATCGACATTCTCCTCTATGTCACCCCAACATAAAGCCATACATCAAGGCCATACATCTCCCAGAGAACTCTTGCCTCTCAGCCCACCACGTGACGTGGAACTTCATTCCATCTCGTTCGCTCCACTGGAGAGTTCTTCTCCCCGTCCACGGGTGCGGATCTGGCTGTCCGTCGTCGCTGACCACGTCGTCGCGGACCCGCACGTGCCAAGGAGACGAGTTCATGCAGTTCGTTTGCCTCTACGAGTCTCGGCTGCACGAGCTCTACCGGGCGGAGTTCCTGAAGTATGAGCGTGGACCAGGCGGGAGGCGAAGATGCGGCGGAGGGGGAGGCGGAGGCGAAGATGCGGATGCGGGGGTTGACATCAGCGAGCCAATGCGAGCCACACACCTTTGAGCGAGTTCCGGTCAGGCAGACTTCCCAAAGACGCGGGTAAGGAGGTTTTCACTTCCATGTTAGTGAGCCAGAGTCCAGAGTGTATAGGTGTGCTGCGCACCTTGCAAAAGAAGCTTTCTCGAACCAAGCCGTCATCCCCGACGGCGGCCGCAGGAACGATGTCTGTCGAAAGCCTTCCTCTCTTGCTTTCAGAGCTGGGTCTGGAGCCACGCTTCTTGGAACTCATTGTTGCACGCACTTCTATTTTGTGGGGTCTTGGCCGGACGGATCATGAGAAACAGCGAAAAAACAGACTCATGACTGGACTCACATCGTCTCATAATATAGCCCTCCATGGAAACCCAAGCAACCAGCTGATCTCATTTTTATGGCAGTTGAGATCCTTTTGCATCACCAGCGGTTCTTTCGTGAACCATCCATTTGTCGAAAATGAAGCGCAAGGGGCAAGGGGGGTGGAACCCAGGTGCACCCCCCAGAGGTGGACCGGTTCGCGGCCCGACCTCGTCATCGAACTCGTCCCAGGTCGAGTGGTCATTGAGGAGCTGCTGCAGGAAGTGTGTGGAGCCAAGCCACGTGGTGCAGGAAGTGTGTGCAGCGGCCGTTGGTCGTGTGGCGTTTTCCTCGATCGAGCGAAGCGTTGAGAGCGGCGTGATGGCGGGGTTGGGCTGGCGGATTCTGGAGCTGGGCCAATGGAGATCATATCGTGAAGAGATATAAGGAGTTTTGATGAATGTTGGTCGTTTCGTTCTTCTGACAGTCAGTAGATATACCTCGGATCTCAGATCCGAAGGGCCAGCTGAGGCGCATTCGGATCGGATGCGTGTCGTTTCGTGGGTGTGTGTGGTTTCGTTCTTTTTTTCCATGTGACCAGAGCAATGTTGTGATTTCGATCCTTCAGGTCATTTCGAAGCCTCGTCCATTATCCCCGGCCCACCTTCCATGAAGCCCGGTTTGCATCGAATGCTTCGGTCGTGGTTTCGGCTGAGGCCCGGCTCTCTGGAGTTTCGAGATGTGGCGGCCGTGATGGAACTCCTGCGTGCGCGGGAAGGCGCGTGGGACCACCGAGCTGGAGAGCTGGGGAGCTGGGCTCGCTGGAACCCATGAGATCCGGCCATGATGGTCCCTGATGACGGGCGGTCGATGGTCCCTCAATTGCTGAAAACGGCAGCCCAGCAAGAACCCGAGGGGCTCTCAGCGATGGTTTCACCCAGGGTCTGTGACGGTGTCATGTCTATACACCTTGGATATATCACATTCCCAGTAATGTCGACGTCGGATTAATCAACGGGCTCCCCCCCCTAGAAGGTCAACAAGGTCAACAAGGTTTGAGATTGGAGGTTTTGGAGATCACATCCCCCTAATAGTGGGGATGACCTGATGATGAAAGGGAATTAGTATTTGGAAGAATTGAGATGAAAGGGAATTAGTATTTGGAAGAATTGGAATGAAAGGGAATTAGTATTTGGAAGAATTGAAATGAAAGGGAATTAGTATTTGGAAGGGTTGGGATGAAAGGGAATTAGTATTTGGAAGAATTGGAATGAAAGGGAATTAGTATTTGGAAGAGCTGGGATGGAAGACTAATATATTTAAGTAATTGTATTTCTCCTGGTGGGACAGGGGGTAGACTAATAGGGGGGTTCAGCCAAGCAACATTTTTATTAGAGGGTGGTGACTGTGGAAATTCATAGTTCAAATTAGTTTATTATTGAGGCCTGAATGCTGGGTAGACTAATAGGGGGGGTTGCCTAATCCTATGTTGACATTAACAATGGATGATGGTTCAGTTGCAGACCTTTCTCCAAAATAGTGATCATCGTGCATCGGCTGTTGCACGTAGTAGGACACACCCAATCTACACCAAAAGCGGCCAAGATCACCTTCGCTCCCAGCACCTCCCACAGCTTCGTCCTGTGACCCTCTTGACGAACCCATCACGGCCGTGCATGGCCGTCTCCGGGAAGGCGATTTGGCGCGGACAGGGTGGAAAACCCACCGTTTCCACTTCCCTTCGTTGGAGCGTAGAGGGGTTGGACCATTGGTTGCGGAAGAGGAGACTTACCCATGAACTTCTAAGGACTCATTTATCCCACCTGGAAGTCAAAATCCACCACTACCATAGGGCCATAGGGGTAAAATATGGTAAAATGAGTCATGACTAGACTCTCAGGGTTAAAGGAAGGTCCTGCGATGTTGTGGTAGAACTGAGGACTTCCAACCACTCAGCCCGAGTCGTTCGAAAAACTAAGAAACACCTCACCCTCACCCTCGCTCGCTTCTCTCGGTGTCGTGTCATCAGAACGAAGACCCCGACCGGTACCCGCTATAGCCCCCCGGCTCGACGACTCCAGGTTTCCTGGTGGAGGAACTGGAGCGCTTTCGGGCCGTGTTCCAAGACTTCGCCGCTCGGGCACCGCTTGCCCTCGTCGCGGTCGCACAGCGCGTGGGAAGGAGCTCATGCTGGGGTAAGAATGGATGGGGTGAGACCCACACGTTTAACCAGAAGAGGAAGAAAAAGGGCGCACCGTTAGACTTTGTTTTAACAGGGTCGAACTCCAGGTTTAACCTCTCTGTTTTTATTTGGGGGGAGTATTGGGGACGCCGGCGGGCCCACGACACCAGTGTGGCGAACTGAAGGGACCAGTTGGTCGAATTTTCCTGGTAGACTAGATGAGTTCCAGAAAAAAGTCCATGGCAAGTTTTGGTGGTGCACATGTCACTTGAGGGGAGCATGGGTGATTTAATGTTTTATTTGGCATAGATAAATGCATATATATATATATTATATATATGCATATATGTATAAGATTGTATAAGTATATAAATCTCCCCTATCTCTATATGTATATATAAAAACCTGTATCTGTGTGCAAACAAACTAGGTTTCTCTCCTGCATCGAGTCCAGCGTTGTTGCAGATGCTCCTGAATTGGTGCTGCGTGGTAGCTGGCGACCCCACCGAGCCAGAGAGAGGTGAGAGAGAGAGAGAGAGAGCGAATATTTGTAGAACAGGTTGATGTGGATGATGCACGCGATGACTTTCAACCACATGATGTAGAGACATCGACTCTAAAACATGAATGAGCCTAGACCCTACTTGACCCTGTTCTTATCGTGTTTTCTTTGCACTCCTTTGACTCGCGCCGTTACCCGCGCGGGTGAGGGTCCTCACCCGAGGATTCCGACGCCTCCGGGGACATGTCCGCCGCGGAGCTGGGAAGTGCGCCGCTGGGCCACGGCACAGTCCTGCCCAGCCCTGGGAGGGTGCCTTTGGGGACACATCGCTTGTATATGCTATATCAGGATTTGCTCTTCACCCTCCTTGAGTGGCCGTGATATCCACAGAGGGGGCACGAGCAAGAAGTCCAAGTTGTTTCACTGTCCTTCTTCTTGGGACACAGACTGGTTGGTGTGGCAGGGCAGAAGGAGGAGGATCCCAACCATGGTGACCCAAATCTAGGATCCAGAGGTTTACAGGACATTTCCCTACGGCAGACAGAGAACATGGTTCCTTCAATTGTTTGTTTGTTTTCATATTTAGTTTATATACCTGAAGGATGAACCTGCTGAAACTGGACTGTAGTACAGTCTTGGCTGGATGCCTTCATAGGAGGACGTCCTTGTTGAGGGACATGTCAAGCACCAGCAGCAACCTACTTCACTGAAAATTCACCTCCCGCCCCCCCGTTCCTTCATTTCAACCTAGCTATTTTGCAGCTTGTATTCCCTCCTCCCCCCCTGTCCCTCTCTGTCTGTTTGTCTGTCTGTCTGGATCTGGATCTTATATTTTATATGCATATATTATATATACAGTATATATTTCTTTTGCCCATGGTACGTGCCATGGTATATATTTACATCTGTGTGTACCATTCCTGTAGTGAATCTAGGCCAATAAGTTGTGCCGTCGACTTTGAACACAACAGTGCACTTGTTTGGAACTTATTATTTGAGTGAGCCTCCTGCAAGCAATGCTGATAATTGATAGCTCCTTGTTGGGAGTTCTCCCATTCGACTAAGGTTATCCTGGCTTGGCTTCCCCTATACCAATGAGAAGGTGCAGAGCCTCTACAAGCAAAGCGACATGAACGGCCCCCAGTTTGCAAGAGAAGCCTTCACCAAAGCCTTCCAAGGCCATTTTAAAATAACAAGTTAGCTGGGTTTTCTAGTGTAAAGTCCTGGTCCGTAAAGGCTATAAAATCAATGGTGGAACGGACACCCAGGGTTCCAACATGTTTGAAGCCTTTCGACCCCTTCCAATCACGTGTCCTGTTCCGAGCCAGTTCGGGGCGGAAGCTGGGACCCTTCTCTTGGCCTTTGAAGCAAAAAGGTCTGAAAAGAGGTGACCACACCACACAGGAGGCACCCAACGGAACGTGAGACTTGTCACCTCAAAAGGGAATGACACTCTGACTTAAGATGGAAGTGGAGCTCTCCTGTGAAAGTAGTCTTGGGTCATTCTCTACTTCCATGTTACAATGTTGGTGAGTGACAAGTGCATGATTTCGAAGCAGGTCGTCAAACATCCAGATCTCCGGGACATTCCAAGACCATGGACATTTCTTCACATGTTTCACATGTCCTGTTTGCATCGACCTCCCGGTGGTGTGAACCCGGTGAACGCCGGTGAATCCGTGGCAGCCCACGTGGGGTGAAGCCACCGCTGGGAATCGACCGAGGGAATGGCGTCCTGAGCGAGTCGGAGTTTGTCATTTGCCTTCGGCATATCCAAGCATCTGTGCGTGGAGAGAGGAAGAAGTTGACAGGGGATGAACTCGGACGAACCTGGTGGAAGATGGTTTTTCTTTTACAAAGGTGTTTACTTGGCTTATGTTGGCAGGGTCACTATTTTTTGCAGGCAGCAAGCCTCCAACAGCACATCTAGTTACCGCCAGATCGCCTGTTGCAAACACATGGAGGGAAAACTGCAAGAGGTGGGAGGGTCATATGGGGAAAACCCAAGCTGCTGGTGCTCAGGTCACCCTACCCACAATCCCCACATCCCCACAGGTGCTTAGTTTGGGTCCTTTACTGGCGAATACATGCGAATACCAGTCAGCTGCTGATGGGGAAGAGGGGATGATAGGAGTTTTGCTGGAAGAATGGGGTCATCAGGTAGATGACTTGACATGAGTTGACAGCAACAAAGCGGGAAGCTTTGCCACTGTTTTGCTTCGTTTGCTCTGCGTGGTTTGCTCTGCATGGTTTGCGTCGGTCCAGTTCACGGTTGTGTTGAAAAACCGTTCGATCTGAAATTCGACCGGGCTGGTAGGGTCCACTAGGATTCGGTGATTGATCACCAAAGTGGTTTCAGAGGCTCGATGGCACAACCCCCATGTCTTGTAGCCATCTATCTGGGGACAATTTGGGACATATCTGGTATCTGGGGGTCTCAAATTGGTTCCGGCCACTTCATCACTCGATTGGATACCACATCCAGAAACGGGCATATTCTGGCAGAAAAACGGTCTTCATCCCTCTTCCCATTCCGGCTTGAGGGGCTAAAACGTATCAAAAACAAGGTCCACCAGGGCAGGGTGTGTCAAATGATTCTCCAGGCTGGAGATGGTTTGAGACCTGGACAGTCTAGAACGCATGAGTTGCCAAGCTCCAAACTCAGCGGCCTCCAGCCAGACATATGTGTCTAGTGAACCATAGCCATAGTGAACCCCTTCCAAAAAAATGTGTTGGACACGTTTTAGTGCGGGAGCACTCTATCTCCAACTCAGTCTCTTCCCCAAGATCCTCACGCACCATGCTTGGTGCTCCCCCAACGCACGTGCCGGCCCCTTCGCCAGCACCCCGAGGATGCCGAGCTCAGCACCATCCGACAGGTGCTGCGCCGGTCCCCGAGCGACGGCCACATTTCCTCGGTGCGGGAGCTTGAGGCGAGGACCGGTTCCGATGCGGTGGGGGTCGGGGTCCGGTGTGATGCAGTCGGGGGTCGCTGGTGATGTGGTCTGAGGCGGAGAGCACATGGACCGGTGGGTGGGTGGGTGGGCATTGGAGGTCTCAGAGAGCCTTAAAACTCCAACAGGTGCTCCAGCATACTTAGAGACTTAAGAAGTATAGATCTTCCCTTCATTGATTATGACCTGAAACATTTGAGAAACCCAAGTCCCTACAAAAATGAGTTGTGGCTCCTGTCTTGTCAGAACCGAGTGGGTCCGGCCGGGTGCACGCCACGAAGCCGTCCGTAATGTTGAACTCGGACTCTTCATCCACACGACCAGCATGCCTTTCAGCAGGAGGACAGCCTAGGTCACTCTCCAGGAGTGTATCGAGTTTTCGCCCCTTTTTCGCGAAAACTCGCGTCATCAGTCGCAGGTGCTCCTGATGACACTGGGTTACCAAGCTTCTGCTCCAGCCTTGGCCGCCTTTGGGATCTAATTTTTTTTTCCGGACGGGTGGAGAGTGCTCAGTCGAAAGGGCGCCAGTTCATTTTTTTGGGGGGTTGGGTGCACGCTGATTCTCAGCATGACATGAAGGCTCTCAAGAAGTAGGTCGTTGTGATCCAGGCTGGAAAGTAGAGCTACTACGAAAGAGGCTGCATATTTTCCAAAGCAGCCCAAGTCACGGGTGTTTATTTGGTCGCCTTCATTTGCATTCCTCTTCTCTTCCAAAACCCCTCAAATCCTCTAGACTGGATCCAGTGAGTCCATTCCGTGGGGAGTCCATCCCACTATAAATGGAGGGAGGCTCCTTCCTTCGGACGACCACCGAGGATGCCATGCAGGAAGCGAAGCTTTGCCCTCCGAAGATGGATCCCGAACAACTCCAGGTGGTGCCGTATGCCGCCTGGGGCCGTGCCTGGGGAGATGCAGTGCATGGGAGTGCTTCTGTGTAGAACACTCCATGAAACAAGCACCAAAGTGAATGGCCTGGCCCCTTGGAAGATGATATTCTTCTAGCAAGAGGGGGTTGTCGTTCAGTTCCATGATTGTTGCAGGGAGGGTAAGTACTTCATTCTTGATATGTTTTGGAGTCCAGCAAGGAATCCCGGGTTGGTGACCTCCAGCTTTTCTTGGAACTGGATCTCTTTGCTCAGGACTTTTGGTTATCGTCCAGTGTTTTGGAAGAGGACCCAGAGATGTTCTCCAGGATTTGGCGATACACATGGACATGGATGCGGTTTGCTTGCTGCTCCATTGCCTGCGCAATCGCGAAGGCGGAAAAACGTGGGCCACGGGGGGGGTTAACACCCGTGTGGGAGGTGGTTGCAAAACCGGAAAGAGTGTGTGGTGATGATGGGAAGTGATGGATGGTTCCACAAGTTGTTGTTTTCAATAACGCCAAGTTAAACCAAAGGTAAGCTGGACTTGGCACATCACTTGGTGGGGCAGTCCCGCTGAGGAGTGTGTTCTCCAACTGGTTTTGCCATGTCCTGCACATCCCCAAAGTGGATAGCTTGAGCGACATCCATTGACAGGCCTCTAGACAGGCGCAGAAGGTGGGTAGGTGGGTGCAGGATCCACCCATGCATCTGGCGGATCATGCCGGTGCACACGATCTGCACGATCTGAGCCACTACTGGATCTACTGGTGACTTGTGAAATCGTGTGAATCTATGTGTCACGTGGGGTCCTTTAATCATTAGCTCGTCGTTTCCATGATCCCTGCACCGACCCATGAACCGGTCTTGGGCTAAACCCTGCGGTGGCTCCTTCACTTTCCGGTGACCCAGTTCAAACTGGTTCGCCTCAAAGAGAGATCTGTTCCACTCCTCCTGGAGTGTAGAACTTCTAGAGGCTCCCGTGATCTTGCGGAGAAAAGACGAGCTTCACCCGATGCCCAGGCTTCACCGATGCGCAAATGAACGATTTGAGACGAGCCTTCCAGAAGAACAAGCAGGAGGAGACCGACAGGACCGGTGTCCCTCTCACCCGCCGGCCCCTAAGATGGTCATAAGAATCCGTCACGAATTAAGATTGTGATTGCCATACATCCTCCCGAAAGCTCACAGGATGTTCCGTTTAGCTTGCGGCCTTTTTGTCCCAGATCTGAGAATCACTCTTTGCACTCTGGTGAGTGACTTTGGGCGAGCCTTTCGTAAGCGCGCCACGAAGTCCCGTTTCGTTGCCTCCTTTGAAGTCGTGTGTGATGCGATACGATGCGATGATGGTCCCCTGATGATCATCCATGGTTTTCCCATGTTGTCCCATTTTTAGACATGTCTCACCTCAACGGCCACGTCGACACCCCAACTTCTCTTTGGCACCGGCTTTGAATCAGGATTTCCACCTCCAACCTCCACAAGGTGTGAGGGTCGATCCGCTCGCGTGACATGCGAGTCTAGCGATGATTTTGGGGAGAAGGAAGGTCCGTCTGAAAGGAAGTGAGTCAGTGCCCAAAGTTATGGGCTGCAAGCTGCAAGACCTCTGCCTGATGGTTAAGCATTTTCCCTGGAGACCAGGATGACCTCACTTATGCCCCTTCATATTGTGCAAAGTGTTAGCAAATGTTAGCAACATAGTCATCGTTGAAGCCAAGGGCAAATATGGAACACTGACCAAGCCCGACCGTTTCCCTATCGGTTGCTGAAGAAGCTGGATATAGCTGGATGTTTGGACTGTTTGGCTATAATTGCTTGATTTAAGTCTATATCATATTTGCCACACATGGGTTTGCATGCCTTTGTCCAACGCTCGAACACCTGAACACAACTGCCTGGTACTCTGCCTGGTGCAGGTTCTTCGCTGGCTTGGCCACTGCTATTCGTTCGACCGAGCTCAGCAATTGATTTATGAGGCCCTCAAGCTCACACGCGCCGCGACGCCGCGACGCCGCGCGGCGCCGTGAAACCAGCGGCACTGCCCTTGCCCCTGCCCAGCAGGAGAACCTTTCGAGGGCTGGCACATTGATCCGCAAAGACGTTTACTACAAGAATGACACACAAACACCACACCTACTCGTGAAGACAGCTAGACTCTTGCAACGAGACAGGCATTTTTACGGCTTTTACATTTTTATACATACTTCTTGTGACATCTTGTGACTACAGTTGATGGATGTTGATGGCCTATGCTGATGCTTGTTTTCATTATTGTATTATATACACTTCTATTGCCATGCTTGTTTGGTGGAGCCCCGCTTGTTTGGTCGAGCCCCATCCAAGAAGTCATCTATTTGGTTGTGCCTTGTTTAAACATCCCCCAGCAGAATGCGGCGGATTCACATGCCCCAGTTCTGTGGATCCTCATCTAAGGCTAAGGGATTTGCCATCTGAAACATTCTGAAACCCTTCAAACTTGGAAGCACATGTTCTGGTGAGTCCTCTATAGCCGTTCTGACAAAACTTTTGTCTTCCGCCCCCCCGCAGAGGCTGATGCTCAAGGTGATGAATTGGATTTCACCACGTGGCCTGGCCATGACGCCACGATGGAACTTTAGAGGCCTGATGGACACTGGACAGTGGCAGAGCTTGGAGCCGCCGGCCACCGGGTTGGAGAGAGAATCAGAACATCCTCAGAGACCAGGAGAATGGATGGGACATGATAGGACCCATCGAACTTGGATCTGCAGCACCATCTTTTCAAGGCTCCCCTTCACTCCCCAGGGTCCACCGCTTCCGTTTTTTGATTCGCCGTTTCCGCCGAGGTTCGTCAAGCTGGTGCGACGCTGCCGGAACTTCGACCGCCAGGCCGCCGTGGCGGCCTTCCACGAGGCCGATGAGAGGCGCGCGTTGGGCCTTCCCGCCCTCCAAGAGGGCGGGGGTGGAGGGGGTGAACCGGGTGGTTTGGAGGAGGAACGAAGCTGGCCAGATGAAGTGATTGTGACAACATCATAGAATCATAGATCTCATTAGATCTAATCATACTCATTAGATCTCATTAGCTTGGCCAGATGTTTTGGTGCGAGATGTTGATGCTGCTTCTTGCGCACACCCAGCTCTAGTACCAAGGCTTTTGGGAGTCGTTGATGCTTTCGAATTCGATGTTGAGATCATTTCGCGTTCCCCCCTTTCCTGGCTGGTCGGGCTTTGACCATATTGGGCAATACGTCCGTAGCAGCTCAGCAGATGAAAAATGATGAAAAAGACATATGTACACACATACACACGTATGTACACACATATGTACACACATACACACATACAAATACACACACATATATATATATATATATATATGGGCGCGCGTGCTTTTCGGGGCCCCCTGAGAAGTAATGGATAAGATATAATACCATGAAACGCGCCCATATATATATATATGCATATACTTCCACAAAAACATTGCACATAGACTGCATGAAATCTTTCATACGCCATACGCCCAGGTTCATGCCAGAGGAGGTTCATGCTATCTACAAGCGCAAAGCTGCATTGACATTCTGCATGGCGGATTTAATCATTTGCAGACAACCGCCCATGTCTTCAAGGTGGTGCACTTCTTGTAAGTTCTTCAGATGTGTCAATGCAGCCTGCAGTTCTACCTTGCGGCGCTTAGTACGGTCAGAGGACGAGGAAGAGGAGGTAGAAGACGAAGAAGATGAAGATGAGACCTTGGCCTTGCCATCCTTGGGGGTTGTCTCCTTGACGCAATCCTCGTCCATCATATTGTCATGATTTGGCTGTGAGTCCAGGGCTTCTGAGTGATGGTCCTCAAAGATGTTGGCATCCTCATCCTTTGGCTGTGAGTCCAGGGCTTCTGAGCTCTCAACGATGTTGCCAACGGCTTTTGAGCAGGAACTTTCAGCAGGTGGTTTGTCCTCCAATGCCAACATATTCCTTTTCTGCACGCCCTTCAAATCTTTCAAGAGCCACGTGTCGAGAACATCTTGCGCTTGACGAGACCACTGGCCAGAAATGCCAGGAGCTAAATTCAAGCTTCTTTGGACATAGTGAATATGCGCTTGAATCTGTCTCGGTGTTCGTTGTTGTTTTGACTCACACGCTGCTTTGCGGCCACTGACGATGTCCTGGTGGAGTTCATGTGCGTTGGGCACAGGCACTGACGGCTCAGCATCAGTAGTTGGGTCTGGGCGGTAGATGACAGGGTCCACCGTCTGCAGATCCAACGAAAACCGCCCAGGTTCTACTTCAGAACCCATAGCCACAAACATCACCTTCTTGGGCGCCATGATGACACTGATACAGACTTGAGCTGGAGCCAGTCACTATCAAGGTAACTTCATCAATGAAGAAGTGGTGTGTTTATAAACAGTAGTCAGTGTTTATAAACATGCAAACTGCCAAAGTAAACAAGAGTAATCAAATACAGATACCACCTGCAAAAAGCTATATGCTTGTTGTCAAATGACATTGAAGTAATCATGCAAGCAAACACATACAGAAACCACTACAAGAACATACCTTGCAGATGCAGACGCTAAAGACATGACATTTTTTGCGTAAAGCTACTGCAGCAGATTGCATTGCAATCTATACCCATACCGTTGGTCAGACAGAGTACACAGATGAACGCTAAGGTGATGACAAAACAAATGCATTCAGCAGCCAATCCTCTGTGATCCCATCACCAGAGAAGCGGTAAATAGTCTCTGACTCATTTTGGCTTGGCAAACGCAAGTACACCGCCCTGCGACCAGCAATGATGACAGCAGCACGCTTCAAAATAGCCATCATGTGAGGATGCTTGGCATACTGGATGGCGACAGCAAACATGCCCTGGAACTGCTCCCAGGTGATGGTATCACCCAAAGAAAGATCTGGCTCTTTGGTTTCATCCCATTCGTTGTTCAGGATCACCCGGCATTGGTTGCGTACAAATTTGGCAGGCTTGTAGCGGGCATCTACTAAGCAAGTCTCACCAACGTCTAAGAAAGACTTGATGTCTTCAAAGTTGATAGCACTGAGGTTTGGGTCATCCAGCAAGACAGGCACATTGA